GGAACTTAACAAGGCATGGATGATGGGGAAGGCAACAAAGAAAGCTGATCCTGCCCCGGTAAACAGAATCCAAGGGCAGACCAAATCAACATCATGGAACACTGCAGAGAAATTCAGTTCATGGGCATCTGGTTCCCAGAAATACTGATGCCAGAAACGACTCTGAATTGGCTTTTCAGCTTAGTTTCTCAGAAAGTCAGTGAGATGAGGGTTAAAGAAGTAAGGTCACTGATAATTCTGTAAACTCAGGAAGAAAATAAGTACAGGACCTGGTGGTTTAGAATGAAGGGAAATTCCTTTCAGTGATTAGATTCAATTTTGCATGCTTGAAAATATCAGAAAATAAGATACAAAAATGCTATTGATCGCATGGTGAGACAGGAACTTTCATACCAGGAATGTAAACTGATGGAAGACTTCCAGAAAGCCATTTGACGTATTTATCAAGAGCCTGTGAAAAGTTTCGATTTAGTAACTTCTCATTCTAGAACTCTGCCTTCTGAAAAGGTTCAGAGGTTCGGACAATTTTTTTTTTTAAACAAGGGGCTTCCACTGCCAGCTCTGATAAGGTAGCTTGTTGTTCTCACAGAGGGCAAGTACAGGTGGGTGGATCAGCAGGTTGGGGTGCATTCATACAGTAGAGTGCTATTCAAAAGTAAATGTGAGGGGCTTCCTGGTGGCACAGTGGTTAAGAACCCACCTGCCAATGCAGGGGACACGGGTTCAAGCCCTGATCCGGGAAGATCCCACATGCCGCAGAGCAACTAAGGCCATGCGCCACAACTACTAAGCCTATGCTCTAGAGCCTGCGAGCCACAACTACTGAAGCCTGTGTGACTAGAGCCCGTGCTCCACAACAAGAGAAGCCACCGCAATGAGAAGCCCGCGCACCGCGAGGAAGAGTAGCCCCCACTCGCTGCAACTAGAGAAAGCCCGCACACAGCAACGAAGACCCAACGCAGCCAAAAATAATTTAAAATAAATTTTAAAATAAGTATGAATGAAATACTAATATGACATGAATGAGTATCAAAGATGTTATGCTGAGAGAAAGAAGACTCAAAAAAGCATGTAGTATATGATTCCATTCATATGATTCTAGAAATCTGATCTAGATCAGAGCAGTGGTTTCCTGGGTAGGGGGATAGGAGTAAAGGAGAAATTGACTGCATATTGCTGGGGTGATAGAAATGTTCTTTATCTTGCAGTGTCATATATATATATATATATATATATATATATATATATATACACACATACATATATATGTCACATGTGAATATATGTATCACTATGCACAAATATGTGTGTATATGCATATCACATGTGTATGTGTGGTGTATGCATATACAACATATGTGTATGTATGTATATTATGCATATGCACATACACATATATACATATGATTTGTCAAAAGTCATCAACTTGTACACAGGAAGTCTCTGAATGTTACTATATGGAAAAAAAAACTTCACTGAATTATTATGTAAAGGCAGAATACATTTCCAGGTAAACAAAAATGGAGAGACATTGTGGCCAGCATAGCTGCACTAAAATAAGTACTGAAGATTCTTTTAGGTAGAAGAAAAATGATCCCAAACTAAAACAAAATGAGAACAACAGAAAGTTTTAATATGTGGGTAAATATAAATGTATATTGACTGAACAAAACATTATTATCTTGTGGGGTCTAAAATATATGTAGAATTAACATTTAAACAAGGGAGACTGTGCAAGATGGCAGACTAGGAAGGCCCTGAGCTCACCTCCTCCTATGGAACAACAAAATTACAACTATTTGCAGAACCACCATTGATGAAAATGACTGGAACCTGCCAGAAAATTTCTTATACAACTCAAGATTTAAAAAAAGGAAGCACAGAGAGGCAGGTAGGAGGGGCAGAGCTGCCATATAGTCAAGTCCCATATCCCTGGCTGGGCAATCCACAAACAGCAGAATAATTATGACCGCACAGGTTCTCCCAAAGGAGTGAGAGGTCCGAGCCGCATGTCAGGCTCCCAGCCCAGGGGTCCTGCACCAGGAAGATGAGCCTCCAGAACATTTGGCTTTGAAGTTCCGTGGGGCTTACTTCTGAGAGTCCCAGAGGGCTGGGGGATATAGAGACTTCACACTGAAAGGACAGATATAAAATCTCACATCCTCTGGAACCCAGGGCAGAAGCAGTAATTTGACCGGAGGCTGGGTCAAACCTACCTGCTATTCCTAGCGAGTCTCCTGGAGAGGCAGGAGGCAACGGCAGCTCACCCTGGGGACACAGACACTGGCAAAAGCCACTTTGGGGAGCTCTTTCTACCATGTGGACACTGGTGCTGGCAAAACACCATTTTGGAATCCTCCCTCTAGCTTATTAGCCCCAGGCCCCAGCCCCATTTGGGGCACCAGTGCTGGGACACCTCAGGCCAAGCAACTAACAGGGCATGGACACATCCCCACCCACCAACAGAGAGGCTGCTTTAAGACCCTTTGATCCACAGCTGCCTCTGGACACAGCCCTGCCCACCAGAGGACCCAGGACCCGGCTCCACGCACCAGTACACAGGCAGTAGAACCAAGACCACCAGGACCCTCCAGCCAGAGACCCTGGGACCTAGCTCCACCCAGCAGTGGTCAGGACCCAGCACCAGAATCCCCAGGGCACCAGCCTCACCCACCAGTAAGCCTGCTCTAGCCCCCCCCCCCCCCCCCCACTCCCACCACACTGCCCTACGCCCCCCCCCCCGCCCAGCTCCACCCACCAGGGGGCAGACAGCAGTTGCAAGAAAACCACAGTCCTGCAGTCTGCAGACCTCCCCGATCACTAGCTGCCCAGACCCTGCCCTCGGACCAGTTGTGCCCAGGACCCGCCCGCTAGCAGGCCAACACAAGCTTCCAGACACCTCAGGTCCTGCAGCCAATTGTGTCAGGAACTGGCCCCACCCACCAGTGGTCTGACACATGCTCTAGGACCCTTGGGCTCTGCAACCAGACCCCAGGACCCAGCTCTGCCTACCACTAGGCCAGTACTAGCCCCAGGACCTGGCTTCACCCACCAGTGGGGGTGAGCAACAGCCCCCGGGGTCTCCTGGACCCTGACTCAACCCACCAGTAACCCAGCACTAGTATAGTCCCCTGGAGTTCTGCAGTCAGCCACCTCATGACCCAGTCCCACGAACCAGCAGCCAACAGCCTCTGCACAAGGCAGGAACTGGCAACCAACAGGCCAAGGGCCAACCAAGTTTACCAGACTGTCCACATAGTCAGCCCACCACAACAGAAAGATCCACGCAGCCCTCATGGGGGAAGCCCTAGAGCATATAGCTCTGGTGATGAAACGGAAGTATCCTGAGACACATAGGTTGTCTACAAAAGGCTTATTCTTCAAGGCTAGGAAATGTAACCAACCTACCAGACAGATAAAAAAAAAACCCCAGCAACTTAGGCAAAATGAGGCGGCAGAATAACATGTTCCAAATGAAGAATCAAGATAAAACCCCAGAAAAAGAACTAAGTGAAGTGGACACAGGCAATCTACCTGAGAATGAGTTCAAGGTAATGATCATAAAGATGATCAAAGGACTCGGAAGAATGGATGCACAGAATGAGAAGATAGAAGCTTTTAACAAGGAGTTAGAAAATCTGAAGAAACAAACAGACATGAAGAAAACAAATAACAAATAAAAAATACACTAGAAGGACCAACAATAGACTAAATGATACAGAGGAATGGATCGGCAAGCTGGAAGACAGGAGAGGAAATCACTGATGCTGGACAGAAAAAAGAAAAAAGCATGAAAAAAAATGAGGACCGGGTAAGAGACCTCTGGGAAAATACCAAACACAGCATATTTGCATTATAGGGGTCCCAGAAGGAGAAGGGAGAGAGAAAGGCGCTGAGAACATAATTGAAGGCATACTAACTGAAAACTTCCCTAACCTAGGAAAGGAAACAGACATCCATGTCCAGGAAGTACAGAGAGTCCCAAACAGGATCAACTCAAAGGGGAATACACCAACATGCACTATAATTAAAATGGCAAAAATGAAAGATAATGAGAGAATATTAAAAGCAGCAATGGAAAAGCAACACGTTATGTACAAGGGAACTCCCATAAGGCTATCAGCTTGACTTTTCAGCAGAAACTCTGCAGGGCAGAAGAGAGTTGCACAATATCAAGTGATGAAAGGGAAAAACCTACAACCAAGAGTACTCTACCCAGAAAGACTCTCATTCAGATTTCATGGGGAGATCAAAAGCTTTACAGACAAGCAAAAGCTTTTGAAAGAGTTCAGCACCTCCAATCCAGCTTTACAAGAAATGTTAAAGGAACTGCCCTGAGCAAAAATGAAAAGGACACAATTAGCAACATGAAAATCATAAAAGGAAAAGAAATCTCATCAGTAAAGACCAACATATACATGAAAAGATGCTCAACATCACTAATTATTAGAGAAATGCAAATCAAAACTACAATGCCGTATCACCTCACACCGGTCAGAATGGCCATCATCAAAAAATCTAGAAACAATAAATGTTGGAAAGGTGTGGTGCAAAGGGAAGCCTCCTGCACTGTTGGTGGGAATGTAAATTGCTACAACTACTATGGGAAACAGTATGGAGGTTCCTTAAAAAACTAAAAATAGAACTACCATGTGACCCAGCAATCCCACTACTGGGCATATACCCTGAGAAAACCGTAATTCAAAGAGACATGTACCACAATGTTCACTGCAGCTCTATTTACAATAGCCAGGTCATGGAACCAACCTAAATGTCCACCGACAGATGCATGGATAAAGAAGATCT